AACTCTGGAGTCTCTCAGTGAGGGTTAGCAACAATGCTAACTGGGAAAACCACTTAGCATATTTCAGTCTAGCAGCTCTGAAGCTCAGCAATCCTTATATCTTTTTTTGTTCATAAATGGAAATGTAAAAAATAACCTGTGTTTGATATAGCTGTCAGGCAGTAATAGAGTCATAATTTACACTCACGACTGTACTTTTGAAAAGCGCCAGGCTAGCTGCTTCCTCGTCGTTTCATTCCCAATGCCAAGCTTAGTTAGCCAACTGCTGGCAGCAGCAGCATCAATCTTCTAATCCAACTCTCCACAAGAGAGTCAAAAAGTGCATCAATCCCAAAAAACTTTTCTTAGCGGAAACATTCAGCTTTATAACCGAAACACAATTATTACATGAACTGTTTAAAAAAATTAAATCTTGCTGCTCTTGCATGCAATTGTTAACCTTAATCTATATTAGCAAGCAAGAAACCATCAAACCTTAATGAGAATTTTTACTTTATTCTCTAAATATGCAATTTATCTTTCTATATAAATGTCTGTCTTTGACCTAAACATTTTATTGCCACAATCTAAGAAGTTGGAAAAAACAGTCTCCCGAATAAAATCTCCAGGGGAGGAAGCCAGAGCTCTCATCAGCACATTCACAGGGAGCCAGGTCACTGATTTACTGATTAGAAACAGCTGCAGTCTCTGTAGTTTTGAGGAGAGATGATCTGCTTTCACATTTATGAAACGTTGGCAGCTGAATAAAGAACATTAAGTCTTCCAGTGAGGGGTAATCCATCAATATGCTAGTACTGGCATGGCTGAAGCCTCCGAAACTATAATAACAGTGCAAAACTGAAAGCGTACAGAGACCTGCTGAGTCTTCAAAGATATTTTTGGTTTTAAGTAATTTGAATGAAATTTAAATAAGTGAATTTAAAAAAAACCCAGAGAATAAATACAGTTGTTTACTTGGGGGAGATATAAAAAAACTTAATGAGAAATAAAACTTGAAGAGAGGAAAAATATCCAATACAAATGTAATATCTGCAAAAACTTTGTTTCATTTGTTCTTTCCTGTATTCAAGAGGATAGAGAACAGCTTTAGAAGCACAGATGTCTGCTTTCAGTTCTAAAATGGTACGTCCAGGTGACGCGTCGATGAGAGCGAATCAAACATTTCCTGCATCCTAATCCAACTTCTAAATTGGTGCCTTCGTTTAAATGCAAATAGTTGCAGTAAAGACGTAGATGGATGTATAAAAGCGTTATGCACGCCTGTTAAAGAGCTTAAAGAATTTCAGCTCATGACAGGATATGTATGCATACATACTGTAAATTGTCATAATGCAGCCGTTAAATGGATAAAGTATCTGTAGGGTAAAGCACGGAGCGCTGCAGAGAAACGAAGGCTGCTCTCGCTGTTATGGTCCTGCACAGACGACGCAGCGCTGAGGCTTCTCATTTCTTCTATTCTGACAAGTCCATTGGCTGAGTCTCTTTATGAATTTGCTCGCCCCGCATCAGTCACAATGACCCCGGTTTGGCCCGTGGGTGCTGAATGTCAACAGCAATGACTCTGGTTGACACGACGTGCTGAGAGTGAGTTCAAAGTCAGTGGAAGCCTTCAGAGATGAGTTCAGACACACTTTTGGTCCATCAATCACCAGCAGAGCAAAACATATCAGAAAAACGCCAAAACAAAACTCCAGGGACAGTGAGCAGCCACGAATAAAGACAAACTTACCAAAGCTCAAAAGGCAAACTCACAGAGGAACAAACTGCACATCTGAGTGAGAGTTCACACATTCACAGCGTGGATATTCTCCACCAGTCTGGTGAATCAAGCTGGCAGCTTTCTGCTCTATACTGAAAGACTTACCACAGTTAAGCAGTCCAGATGGTCATGCATAAACAACAGATCCTGATTTTAACAAACTGTTGTGATTATGGACAAAATTACAAGTGTCGTCTTGCTGATGAGGTGGGACGACAGTGAGGGAGAAAAATTCTCTCATTGTGTGCAGAAAAAAGCTGCAGGAAACCAAACATCCAGATCCACCAGGATTTATCCTGTCAAAACCAGTCCATTCAACACAAGGAATCGCCACGGTCAGTGAACACATTTAAAGAGTGCAGATTTTCCTGTAATGATGGAAACGCTACTGAGAGCCTGAGAACTGCATTCGGTAAAAACAAAAAATGATTTAAATCACCAACTTTATTAGAATTCCTCCCAAGACGGCCACAAATGTCTCTTAAAATGAAAACAACAACAACAACAACAACAAAAAACCACTCTTTCTTCCTGGTAAAAGGTTTTTTTCCTTCCCACTGTCAGCAAACTGCTTGGTCACTGAGGGTCATCTGATTGTTGGGGTTTCCTCTGTATTATTGTAGGGTCTTTACCTTACAGCACAGGTGTCGAACTCCAGGCCTCGAGGGC